TCCGCCGGGCGTACGCTAGGGTCGGGGAGGCGGCCGTGGGCGGTTAACGGGCGCGGCCTCCCCGCGCCCCCTGCGGGGGTCGTGCCTCGCCGGCCGGGGAGGTGGTTGAGTGAGGGGGGTGGCGGTCCCCGAGGGCCCTCCTCGGCCGAATCCCTGTCCAGCGCTGTGCGAGCCGCCTTTTGGTGGTCAGGGAGTGGTTCCTCAGTGGGAGCTGTGGCCGGTTCCCGCAGGAGCAGTGCGTGGATGGAGATGCGCTCAGCGCCGCCGCCGCCTTCAGAGGCAACGCCCCGCCGGCCAGCAGGGCGGTGAACTTGCCGCCACAAAGCGCCCGGACCCAGCCAAACACCGGCAGTCCTCCTAGGCAGCCTACCCCTCACCCTGCCAGCCCAAGGCTTCAAGGAAGCAATCCGGAAAGCAGCAAAAAGTTTGATGGCTGCCTAAATGGACGCAGAATGACGGTTGGGTGCGCGTGCGTTGCCTGCAGAGGCGCAAGGGAAAACTCGGGGCAAGGGTCAGCGGCAGGGAGTCGGGCACCCTTATCGCTGCCCGCCTAGGGCCGGAGGGGAAGCCTCGCTGGAGAGGCGGCAGGCGGTGAGCAGACTGCCGGCAGATTCGTGAGCAGCTGGGTGTAGGACAAGAGCCAGCACCCGCCGCAGTGCTGGTCGTCCTCGGAGAGCACCCGAGTGCTGAATCACTATTGGCCCGCGTGGGATATGTATTTTACGGAGGGAGTGGGGATGAGTAAGGTGATAGTGCATTCATGCGTGTATGTACCTGTCGTTTTTGCTGCAATCTCTTTGCCAGAGGAGGGAAAGTAACTGCAGTACGGGGACACGGGACACTGCTGCTTATTAGCAGCAATGATTTCCTTAGGATCAGCTACAAGATAGCATCCTAGAGAACCTACAAGCTAAACAATCAAAGGTGAGGGAGAAAAACAGACTCTCCCAGGCTACTTCAACAGTCAAGTAATAAATATATCTGAAGTCAGCCACTTGCATGGTCGTCTTTTTTCCCTCCAAGTTCCATCTGACAAATCCATCTATCTCTAAAGACTGCCTCCGAAAAGCAGCTGCAGCACTGAACTCCGATTCTATGTTGGGTGTGCTGACACACACTCACTAGAGATTAACGGGAGAGAATTTGGTACTGCAGAGAGCTCAGATGTTTGAACATTAGCTATCTACTGCCCAGGGGAACTCTGCTGAATAAACCATGCCTTGCAAATAAGCAGTCTTTCTGTGGGCAGAAGGTATGCTCTACTTGATGTACTTTATGAGAACTGGGTCAGGTTTGAGTGTGTGAAACAACGGTAGTCTGTCTGAGGGAAGATAAGCTTTCCATTTATCCTCTTAATTTGCTTTCAAAGAGCCAAGGTTGGGTTTGGGTTCTACCAAGAATGGCACAAATCTTTCTGTAGAAAGGGTGAAACAATCCCAAATTGACTCCAAACGCCTAAGTAGGATCACAATCTGGTACATAAACCCCATAGAGCTTCTTAGCCTTGACATGCACCGCTGCTTTCTCATGCTATGGCTTGCATGCATGTCCTCTTTCATCATGCCACGAGTGTCATTTTTCCTCTGGTTTGATGAGATGGGCTTTCATGACTCTTTCCTTCCCACATGTGGAAGAGTTTCTGCAACAGGAAGAAATGCAAAACTTTTGTACTATCTTAGCTGATTGTGAGTGGTACCTGTTTCATCTAAAATGGCTAGGAAAAATGCTTTGAAAAAAAGTGGAGTGTATAGGGGGACATATGTTATCCAGATTTGCCAACTTTTGATTTCTGAAAAATGTTCCAATATCGAAATATTAGTTGCTGATAACAGATTTTAAGGTCCATCTGTTTCAGCCGTTATAGTGCAGATTTCCTTTCTCGTTTTGAGTATGGTGCTTAAGTCTTGCTCTGATGTAGCTTCATACTTTATACAGTAGGTAAAGATTCTTCTGTTCCTCCCCAAGTTTAGTAGTTACCGGTAGTAGTTACTGCATCTAAAAATATTTTAGTAACGAGGCATATTTTTAAGATGATCTCATGGACCAGAGGTGAAAACAGGCTGTTCTGTAAGCAAACAGCAAGCAGTTCTTACAAGACTTTAAGCACCCACAGATCTGCAACACAAAAGATCCAAATAGTTCAATAAAGTATCTTAATTTCCAGAGTGCTTAGCTAAATAACTGTACTAGCCATTTGTTACGTGTCACTACTTGTATGCTCAAAAAGGATGGAATATTTTGGTTCTACAGTTTTGGCTCTACATAGTCTGCTTAATATAGGAGATACAATTTCAGATTTTGTTTATAAGATCAGAATCACAAAGAAGCATGAGGCATTGGAAGGTCTAAGAGTCTAATTAATATGCATATTTTATTACATTGGGTAGGATTTGTAATAACCAATGACTTCTTGATCCATCAGAAAATATATAGCAGCACACAATAGTTGTAACACAGGAGGAATTCAGTCTAGAAATGAGCATGTTTTGTTTGAGCTATTGGGACAACTTGCTACATTAAGTCAGTCAGGCTCCCACTAATGTCACTGTGATTCCACTGTGGAAGGAGCCAGGCCATAATGTTTTCCTCTCCTGTGAAATGTATTGCATTTGCAGAAAAATCCATCAATATCTTACAACTTAAAGGAAAAATTATTCCCATTTTGTTGCTTCCTCTCGTCATGATCTGAAAGAGTTAGTGGAAATGAAGATTATCATAAATATTTTATTTGATATAGATTATAAAAGCCTGCTTTGTGGTCTGAGTGCATTCAGCCATTCATTTAAGTAGTTCATGTCCTTGTGTTGCAAGTTCACCTGATGAATTTTGTATTTTGATCACTTATTCAGCTAAGAAATGATTAAGCCAGTTCTGAGACTCATAATCAAAGAAAAAACCCCAAAACTTAACGCTCACTAAGGCCCAGTTCTGTATTAACATACAGAACTGCCATAAATTTTGGTGCAAATTCCTTTTTAGCAGAGGCTGCACATCCCTACATGCCTGACTGATTCTTCAGGTAAACATGAAGAGCAGAAGGAACTTCTTGCCAGTGATATCTGGTAGATTGAGACCTGAATGCCTGAAAAATGCTATTAAAAAAATAAATTCCTATGTACTAGGTATTGGAGAGGAAAAAAAAAAGTTTAAATTGGTCCAAAATATATTGCAGGAACCAATCATAAGCAGAACTTTCAGTGTTGAGTGGGCTAATCAATCTTTATTGAGATTGTACTTCTTTATAAAGCACATAATTAAAAGATTTATCCATCTAAGCCTGAAGAACAGTATTTTATTTCTAGCTTCTAGGAATTTATGCAGCTTTGTTCTAGTTTGCATCCAGCATTAGATTTACAACTAACTGAGGCTAGAATTATGAGCAAATACAAGTCAATACTATCTACAATATTTCACTTAAACAATCCTAACTAGCAGTAGAAATGTAACGCTTAACTTTAGCCTCTTGATTTTTTCCCACTTTCTTTGCTGTGCCTTAAAAAATAATATCATTACGGTAGTTCTTATTAACATCAATTGCTTTATGAATAATTGAATGAATGGCAAGTGAATAATTAGCTTTAAGGTGTTTATGGGTAGTCCAAGAGCCCATTGTAGTTTATTAACTATTCTGTTTCACCATGTTATACATACATCTTCCACAAGTAAAAAAAAAAAAGCTAAATTTGATGTACTGTACTGTTCTTTCCACTGAAATAAAAATCTAACTGTATTTCTGCAAAGTGAAAAAATTGAGTATGAACTTACAAAAGCACAGACAAAGAGCTACAGTTTGCATCCAGATTGGAAAACAAAGAGCAGTTTTCAGATCCTTTCTTCTCCATCAGAAGCCAGCTGCATAGTTGTTACTCCTACTCACCTGTGTATTTCTTTTGCATTTGAATAATCCACACCCCCAGCAAGGGCACTCATTTAGCCCTTTTCATCTCCCCAGCTACCTGTTTTCACAACATTTGTGCTAAAACAACATTTTAAGTCTATCCTTCTGACAGACTTTTTTGAAACTGAGTAATAGGCTCAAAGCTGTCAGAAAAAGCCTGACAAAGACAACACAAATGTTTCTTCTCCTTTCAAGAGGCCCCCCTCTGACATAGCCTAGACAGAGACATGCTCAAGCCACCCCACCACATCTTTCCTCAAGCCATACTAGCCTCCAGTGGAGGGTTTTATAAGATAAAACCTAACTTAATTGGTTAAGTCAGCTGAAGACATTCTGGCTAATGGTGAGAGCCACCTGGATAGCATTATCTATCAGCTCATATCCTGAGGGAAAGGCAGGGTATATATAGTGTTCTTGGGGGACTGGTAAGTATTTTATAATCCCTGTTAGGGATTTAGTGAAAAGTTAGTGTTGCTGTGATCATCTGTATGTTAGTTTATGTATAATCTCTTTTTGTTTGTGGGGAAGTTTGAGAAGAGGCTGGAATGGGCTTGCGCAAGTCCAGGGTGAGTGGTGTATGGAGGTGCTATGTAAATGGAACTGCTTACCTGTGTTGGTGTGGTAATAATGGATCAGCTGTGGCATCCTCCTGTGATCTCACTGATGAGGAGACAGCTCTCCTAGTTATATTTGGGGGGTGACAGCCTGTTGCTGTTCATTTGTGCTTCAAGTTAACCACGACAGCCTTACTGCTGAGCACAGCTCTAGTGGTGCACAGTAAGGTCTGAGGAGGCCCTTCAGGCACAAAACCATCTTGGCGGGAACACCTGCCCCAGATGAACCCTTTCTGCAAACAGGGCTTTGGCGGTGGGTGAGTTACGTGTATCTTGTAACCAAACAAGAATTTAGAACTTCTAATCCTCTGCTTTCCATCTTTTTACCTTTAAAATGTTGACTGCTTCTACCAGCAAGGTCAGAGATTTCTCCTGAAATGAGTTCCTGAGTCTTAGGTACCATCTTTTTCCTTTCAGAAAGAGCTTGATCTTTTCCCTTTCTGGAAAAAGAGGGAATTTATGCAACTTTTTATTCCTTTCAGGAAAAAGAGGGAAAGGGAAGAAAGCAAACACTGCCAATAACTTCTTAATGTTATCTCAGAATTAGAGGATGGTATGACAAGTGGGCAAGTCCCACACTAGCAAGCTTAGTGGAACAAATTACAGACATATAGTCAAAACTCATCCTGATGTACCTCTGGGAAGTTGGACTTGGCTGAATTTAAAATAACATATTGTGTAGAGAAAGACCTGTGCTCAGCATAGAGCTGTCGTCAGCCCTCTGTGAGGGAGCGCAGAGCCTGAGGAGACAGCATGGCTGTGAAGCAGTTGGGGCGACCCCGTAAGTGTATGTATGCCATTTTGCTGCACCTTTGTCCATGTTCACTTGCATTTGATTTCTGACACAGCCTGAAAGAGGGAAGTGTTGTTTTTTCTGGGGCCAGGCTACTGCCACAGGATCGCTGGATATCGAGACTGATATCCTGATGAGAGTGAGACATTGCGGAGCCCAGAGAGAAATGCTGTAGGAGCAGTGTGTAAACAGTTCTCCTCAGGGAAGGCCCCTCCACTGGTTGCTCTGAGGGAAACTGGCTTATGGGTACTGTATCATATAATTAGGTGCTTAAAAACAAACAACCTAAGACAAAGATACCAATTGTCTGATTTTTTTCAAGACAAATAATTTTAATCTGTGCTTACATAATTTATTATGCTAGAATAACACCTTTTGTGTAGAACTACACAGCTGATCAGAGACATCCACTTACACAAGAGGGTGAGGGAGGGGACACAATTAGGGGCCTGA